ACAGATTCCACTGCCCAAAGTGCAGAGAATATGACAGTGTGGAATTTCACAGCAGAGCAACCCAGGACGTTCCCCCAGCCTGACAAGATTAACCCAAAACCCTGCTTTGGACCCAAACTCCTCAGCTGGCTCCATTTCTGTACCCCAAACAGAGGGCCCTGAGTGAGCTTTGGATTAAGGACCAATTTTAACTCTCAGTAATATCTGCAGACAGCTGAAGTAATGCCTTAAGGTTTTGCTTTTATATTTTCCAGGCTCTGCACTGCATTGGTGTGTGACTCTGAACTCCATACAAAGTGTTCCAAGCTCTCCTCCCAGCTCAGGCACACAAAACAATCCTTTCCAGCCCCACAACCAAGGACACGCTGCAGCTTCAGCCCCAAAAAGTGCAAAGAGCAGCGAATGGAGGAGAGAATGTGGGAGGATGGGACTGCAGAACCTGGAGCTGGAATTGGACAATGAACCCCAGTGTGAAAATAGAGGATTAATAACCCTCAAAAAAAAAAAAAATATATATATATATAAAACTTATAAAAGTTTGCAATCTCGTGACTCAGAGTCCATCTTGGATCCATCATGGGTAGAGCCCTGGTGAGGCTCTTGCACTGCCCAAGGTGAATCCTTTGAAAGCCTTTTAATAAATCCCTGCTTTATTCCTTTAACAGCCTCGGTTCCAGGCAGCCTCTCACAGCTCAGAAGCAGCTCCAGGCCTCACATTTTGACCCTGTTTGCAGTCTGTGCAGCCTGGAGCCCTTTCCCAGCCGTGTCACGGGCAGGATGTCACGCGGGCCCGTCCCCTCCTCCAGAACGGAAACTCTGCTGGAGCCCAAAACTGCAGCTCAGCCCAAGGCTGTGGTCACAGCACAGAGCTCAGCCCTCCCTAGCACCCCAAAACAGCCCCTGGGAGCACCCCAGAGCTGCTTCAGCCCCTCCTGCTCAGGGACCTGGCAGAACTGGGGAAGGACACCACCAGGTTGAATTTTTTCTTGGCCACCCCTCAGGACAGCCTGCTCCTGAGCTGAACAATGGAATTCCAGACGGGTATGAGGAATGATCCAGTTCCACCCCTTTCCACACCTTCCACTCCCAGGTTGCTCTAAGCCCCATCCACCAACCTCGCCTTGGGCACTTCCAGGGATCCAGGGGCAGCCACAGCTGCTCTGGGAATTCCATCCCAGCCTCTGCCCACCCTCACAGGGAACAATTCCTTCCCAATATCCAATTTAAACCTTCCATGCCTCAGCAGGACCTAAAAAATCTCAGCCCCTGAAGTTGTTTTTTTTCCATCCTCTTCCATCAGGATCTGGTGCACAGCACGTCACAGGGAGGCAGCCTGGGCTTGAGGCTCACTCTGCCTGAGGCTGGAGCACAGCGAGCACCAGGATTCCTACTGGGAATCTGCATTTCTCCAGGTGTGACCAAATCAAATTGGCACAGGATGGGGGGGAAAGCAGCGGGGAGCCCTGGCTGAGGGGCTGGCACTGGGCTGGGCTGTGCCACCACCTCTGCCTGGCACTGTCACACAGCCCCAGTGCCCGTGTGACAGCTCCACGGCTGCCTGAGCACCCCAGAGTCCCTTTTGTGGCAGATTTACACCCAAAGGACTGCTCAGCCCTCGACTTGGTTCACATCTTGCTGGATATTGAATATTGCTGCCCCTGGTGACTGTGGGAGTTGGGTGTGCAGTCACCTCAATGGTCTCCATCAGCTCTGCTGCTGCTGCTGGAGGCTGAATTTGTCTGTAAGTGCCCACGCAGTGACACAGGAAGCCCTGAGAGGCAGCTGAGGGGCTGCTTTGGCTTAGCTGATAAGTAAAAAAAAACAACAGACAAAATAACACCAGAGCTAAAAATAGCGTCTTGCTGGGTAAACAGAGGATTCTGCCCTCCTGACCCCCAGAAAGTCAGGAGAAAGGGCTGAAATGAAAGAGTAACTTATGGCAAGTGGACCTCACAAGGATTTTTCACATTCCCAGTGAAATTTTCAGGTGAAACGAGCTGAGTGCCAACACTTTCCTCATCACTGATCAGGATGAACCTGGATGATCCAAGCCCAGGGTCACCCCAAATCCCACAGGCAATGTGACTGTTCATGTTCAGCTCCCCTGTGTTCTTGCCACAGCCAGGTCTGCTCTCCAGAAAATCCCTTAGGAAGGAAAGCTATAGGGCAAGGAATGACCGAATGGGAGCTTGGAAAACGTGGTGCTGAATGAAACTCCTCCTCGGATAATGGAATTTATATTTATTTAACAGTAACATACAGTATATAAATAGGGTAAATACTTTAAAATATACAATATTTCACATTCGAACATTCAGTCAAAGAAAGGCAACTCTACATTGTGTAGCTAAAACTGGAATCAAAAGAACAATGCACAGAAAGAAGCCGGTGGTGGGAACAGGGATTGCACAGGGATTACAGGAGCACAGAGCTGCCACGCCAGGGCTTCCATGCGCTGCTTTTTGGGACTGAGCTGTCCCCAGGAGGGGCTGGATGGGCCCACACAGCCCTGCCCTGCTCCCACCCCACTGAGGGGGAAGGAAGAGAGGGCAGGACCCCCCACAGCCAGGCTTTGGGGGGCTCCCTGCACACAGGGGACATTCCCTGCAATGGGACACTGGGATTCCACAGCCAGGCTTTGGGGGATGCTGCAGGATCCCAACTCCACGAGCCACACGAGAGCTGCCCCTCAGCTCAGGGGCACTGCTGAGCCCAGGGAATGTGGGTTTAACCCTGGGACTTGTTTAACCCTGTGAATGTGGATTTAACCCAGGGAATTCTGTTTAACCAGGCTGATCCCACAGCATGGCTGCAGATCCCAGGTCTGGTGCTTCCCTCCCTGCCCCCCACCTGGGCTCCAAGCAGGCAGGGAAAAGCAAATTCCCACCCAGGTGTCCACAGGCCCAGCCCAAACAGAGCTGTCACGACCCCCATGGGTCAGACCCGTGTCCAAACCCAAGCAGCCCCTAAAAAAAAAAACCCTGGGGGTGTCCAGTATCCTGCCCAGCACACCCCAGCACCATCCTCATGGACACCCCACCTCCCTGGCCAGTGACCCTGGTGCAGAGGTGGCTCCCACACCAGCCTGTGACCTTCACAGCAGGCAAATCCTACCTGTCACACCCCAGTCCCAGCTGGCAGCAACTCCCCTTCCCTGCTCTTTCCTTTGGAGCTTCCCTGCTGCAGGAGCCTGCTGGGAACAATTTTCTTGTGCCACGCTGAGCTGCAGAACTTCCCCCCATCCCTGGGGTCACTCTCGCCCCTCCACACTGAAATTCCCGAGAGCTGCAGCATCACCAGGGTCCTGCAGGGCCATGTGTGCTGCTGCTGCACATCCCTGGGCATCAGCTCCACCCTCAGAAACAGCCAAAGGCAGGAACAGCAGCTTTTCAGCTCTGCTCAGGGAGTCACAACCTCCCTGTCCCTGGAAGTGCTCAGGATCAGACTTTGAGAAGAGATTCCCTGCCCATGGCAAAGGAGGTGGAACAAGATTTTAAGGCCCCCTCCAACCCAAACCCAGGATCCAACTCCTGATCCTGTGAGTGCAGCTGCACAACTTAGAAACAATCCCAACCACCTCCACCTCCCTCCCTTCCTCCTCCCTGCATCCACTGTTCCTACTCACTTTAATGAGTTTTAAGGGATTTTTTCCATGCAGGAAACCCTTCCCAGGCAGCTTTCCCTGTGAGGAGCAGCCCAGGTTTGGAAGAGAGGAAGCAGGAATAAAGCTGACCAGGGAATTGAATTGTCTGATCAGGACATTCCTGACCAGGGAATTTCTGACCAGGGAATTTCTGACCAGGGAAGCCACCCACAGGCAGAGCTGCTGCTGCTGCTTCTCCTGCAGCTACTCCGTGGAACTGCTTTGCCCTCCAGTGCCCACATCCAGCATTGACACCCTCGGGAAAGGCCCAGACCTGCCCCAAACCAGAGCCTTCAGCAAAGCTTTGCTCCACTGATGACAACAGAAAAGGAACAGAAGGTTTAAAGCAGGAGACTACAGACCCACCGAAGAAATTTCTATCAACAGAGCACACCTTTGTAAATTTATCAACACTGTCACTTCTGCCTGTGGCCCAAGAGCCACAATAAGGGATTTTGGCAATGGGTAGGGAGAATCCAGAACAGCACCAGCTGGTATAGCCACCAGGGCAAAGCAAACCCTGGCACTTCCACCCTGCTCCCAGGGGTGCTCCTGGCAGGGGCCTCATTAAACACAGCCCAAATGTTGTCCCTGGGCCATGCCAGATGGAAGCACCTCGATCCTCCCCTGCAGTTTCTGTGCCAGGGGCTTAGACCAAAATTTGTTCCATCGACAGAAAATAAACCCTTGCCTAATTCAAACTGGAAGAGAACAGTATCCAGAACCAGGAAAAATCTGTATGAACACCAAACCCAGTCCTGAACTGGCTCAGTGCAGAACTTTGCCAGCACCAACTGAGAATACTCTGTAAGAACAGAGCCTTCTCTGCAGCCTGTGCTTTCCATCAAACACCTGCATTTGGAGCACAAAGCTCAGCTCCTGCTCAGGGAGGCAGAGCAGAGCCCACCACAGTCCTGCAGAAATGAAGGAGAGAGCTTGGTTCCTGTGCTGTGTATTTACACACACTCAAAGTAAATGAAAGCAGTGGCATAATCAGAATATGCAGTAAAAGCTCTGAATTTGGGGGATTTTCAGGTGGTTTATTTTCTGTTGATGCCAAGCCAGTTTGCAGCAGGGGCAGGTCTCACATGGAGGGGTCTGTGACTAAAGGTTTGTGGCAGCAACTGCTTGAAAACACCAATGTACTTCTGTATGAGCTCTCCCTGTCACTTGTTCCCAAGGTTAAAATAAGGTAAAGTTTCTCCCGTGCACAAACTATGCAAAGAAGGAAAATCAGAGTCACCTCGTGTTTGGGAACATTGCACAAGGTGTAAACAGCAGAAGCGACACTATCGAAAAAAAAAAAAAAAAAAAAAAAAAAAAAAAAAGGAAAGTTTTACAATCTTTAGGGCTCTCGTTTTTAAATAATAAAAAATATGACAAAATAAAGGAAAAGACTTGGATAAAACTTGCAGCTATAAAGTACAAACTATTTCTGACAAGATTCAGTGGGCAAAGCAGGACAGAAGCCTGCAGAGAAATGAACCCAGACTGAAATGCAACAGACTGTGGTAAAGTCAGCAGCACGACTTCTACAACTCAAGTAAGGAACAGACATGATCCCTGAAAGAAAACAAAACCCCCAGCTGCAGCTGGAGCCCACCCAGCAACAAAACTGGCTGGAAACTGCTCCCCAGGTTACTTCAAATATCCCAGTGTGGGGTTTCCAACCTTGGAGAAATGAAGAAGTGTGGTTTTTAAAGGTTATTTAATGAGTGAAAACAAACCAAGTGATTTAAAAGTTGTTCTCACTTGGCAGGAATTGCTCAATGAAACTTCAATGTTCTTTAAAACTTATTTACTTCCACCAGGAATCTGAACCTCCCACACTCCCACACACAACTGCCATTTCCTTGACTCCTCATTCCCAGTCTGTTTCTTGTTTAATTCGTTACAAAAATCTGATTTGCCAAATCAGGGAGGGAAGGAATGTGAGAGGCACTGCAGAAGCAGCAGGTGAGAGCACTGCAGGTGCAGGGCTGGGCACAGGAAATGGGGCTGGGTTAGTACAACATCCTCTTCCTTGTGCAAGGGGATTCCCACAGGCAGGAACTGCTGGGACAATTCCCACTGCACCCCCAGCTGTCCCTGGAGAGGAGGATGGTCCCAGAGCCAGGGAACAGCTCAGCCCCCCCTGCCCTGCCAGGCTCTGCATCCTCTGCCAAACCCACTCCAGGGAAAGCTCAGCTCTGCCCACACCTCCAAGGGTCCAGAACAGTCCACCAGGACAGCCACACCCTCCTACTCCACCCAACCCTTCCAAGCCTTAACTCCTTCTCAGCTACAAAGCCAAGATTTGCTCATTTGAACCAAAGCTCTATAAATATATTATTTAAAAAAAATAAACCACAAATGCAAACATTTACCAAGAGAGGAAGAAAAGTTACAGTGAAATGAGGCCTAGTTATTGTCTTAAATCAGGCAAGCCAGGAATTCCCTGGAGGAGGCCTGTGTGTTCTCAGTCCTGTTCCAACCACCTCCTGTCTATGCGTCCTCCAGGCTGCCCAAAATTCCCCTGTCCACCAGGTGTGCTTTGAGGGTGTTGAAGATGTGGAGCTGCTGGTCTGGCCTCAGGGTCAGGAACTGCTGGATCAGTTTGCTTGGGTTGGGGCCTCTGGAACACAAAAGCAAGGTCAGCAATGGGGCTCCATTCATTGCTGGGCTGTCCATTCCTTCCCCAGCGCTACCCTGGGAGCCCAGCTCCATTTCGGATATGGAAATGGACTCAAAAGGCAAGGGAGGGTGAACTGTAAACACAAAATAACTCTCCAGACCCAATCTATTTGAAGAGGACTCTGCACCTTATCAGCAGGTGCTGCCCCTCAGAACTGAAAGCAGTCACACACAGCCAGCTCCTCAGCTCCCCCAGCCCATCCTTCATGTACCCACAGCCTTCTTTCCTCTGTGCTTGCCTACAGAATGCTTGTCAATGCTGCAAAATTACATTTCCCTGCTTGCTTGACTCCAGAAACCTGTCCAGGATTCCCAGATGGGACATGGAGGAGTTCAGTGGGACTGGAGTAACAGCCCATGGAAAGTGAGGGTTCCATTTCCAGCTCTGCTGAAGATCCTTCCCCTCCTCAAGCCCCAGCTTTGTTTGCCTTGTATTTTCAGCTGTTAGATCAGTCAGAGAGCTCAAGTGGCTCTGATGCCAGCCTGTCCATGCCCTGGCAGTGCCAGCAGCCCCCGGCAGGGCTCACCCACCTGATGAAGCTGGCGATGTACACGTTGACAAAGGTGGCCATCAGGTACTGGCAGTCGAAGCGATCCATGATCCCCCCGTGCCCCGGGATGGTGTTGGCAAAGTCCTGGCAGAGCAGAGGGATGGCACTGAGCCTTTGCCAGGAACTGGGCTGGCTTTGGTGCCCCCACACACCATGCTCATCCCCTGCCCTTTCCCAAAAGGCAGAGTCAGACCAAGGAAATATTTTGTTTAATGTCTTCCTGGTTCTGGAAGTTTCTCCCTTTTGAAGCTGCTGGTGCCTGAGGGGCAGCGAGGCTCAACTCAGCTCTGTTACTCAAAGGTCAGGGAAGGCAAATGTTTATCTGCTACCACCCTGCCTTACCTTTCAAGGCATCTGAACTGAGCACAGGCTGTTTATATGTGAAACCAGCCTGCAAGACATCAAGGGAAACCTCAGATTGCAAAATTTCCTGGCTGGGTCTTCCTTCCTCTACCTGAACCACAGCAGGGTTTAGAATATCACGGTTAAAATCTTAAGGTCTCTTCCCTTTTGATCAAAAAACCCAGATCCTGCTCCAGCATTTCATCTGTGACTGAACAAACCTTCCTTCCCCTCGAGTGGCAGCACCCACTTAGTGTTTCCTCCCCAGAATCTCCACGACCTTGCTCCTCACCTTGATTTTGAAGGCCCTCTTAAAGCCACTGGCAAAGAAGCCCCCGAAGGGCCCGATGAGGGAGGCAAAGGTGGAGAGGGCAATGCTGTGGATTTGGAAGGGGTACATCCTCACGGTTTTCTGCAGGACAAACAGCACAGGAGGATTTTCAGTGCCTGCCCCTCCTTCTCTGCCCTCCCCCCCCAGGCTTTCAGGTGGGGCAACTGTCCCACCAGACTTGGGATAATTCTTTTGCCCTCTCAATCCCCCTTTTTTTCTGGATGCACCTTTGTTCTTTCACTTCAGAACACAGCCCTGCTCTTTCCTCAGTGATCCTACCCCACTAAGTAAGAGCTAGGGAGCAGAGAGGGTCGTACCCAGCCCACCACAGACTGCAGCACCACGGGGATATTGTACTCCTGCAGCTGGAACAGCTCTGAGGGCTCGCAGTCCACAGTGAAGCTGTTGGTGTCGTTGTTGAACTCCACGGGGCAGGTGAAGCAGCGGTACCCAGACATCACGTAGGACAGCTCCAGGAAAAAGAGAAAGAAAACAGGATTCATGTTTTCCCCAGGGATTTCCCAAGGGGAAAGGCCGTGCAAGATGAGGGAGGAGGGAACCACGCTGCCAGCTTCATTAAGGAGATTACTCCCCTGAGCAGCAGGAATTGGCTGAAGGCAGAGGAAGAGCGAGGCTGCACCCTGAGGTGGAGGGACAGCAACAGCAGCCACAGAGAGGGTCATAAAAACAGGGAAAAAACACTCCAAGAGTGTGGAATCCCCCCCACAGCCCCTGAAATGATGCACAGCACCATCCAATGGCAGCAGAGGGAAAATGGTTAATTATTGTAATGAGCACATCACAGGGTCTAACAGGGATTAAAAACTTCCTCCAGCACTCGGCTCCATCAGCAGTGCCTGCACACAGCCAGGGGCCACTTCAAACCTGGGCAGCAAGAAAAGGTGAAATATCTGACTACATTTTTTAAACAGAACACTGGGACCCTCTGAAGGGAAAATTCCAGTGGAGGAAGTACCACAACGGCCACTTACCAGCAATCCAAAGAGAACGGTGGAAAAAAATCCTCCAATAAAACCCTCCCAGGTCTTCTTTGGGGAGAGCTGCCAGAGAGAGAGCAAAAGGGACAATTATTGATACACCTCTGCAGCCCTTCCTCACTTGTGAACTGCTGAGGCAGCACAAAGTAGTGCCACCACCCCACAAAGAGTTTGGTCAGAAGCTGAGCCCAACGCCTCGGTATGAAATGGTTCATTCATGGCTGGACTCGATCATCTTGCCAACCTCAATGGTTCAGTGATTTCATTTCAGAGCCTCAAAGACTGGGATGCACACCAGATTTAATTTGGAGACTTGCTTCAGACAAAGCAGGAGCTGGGGGAGCACAGGGCTAAGTCCCAAAGGACCCAAAGTTCACATTTTGTCCCCCAAAATGTCCCAAACCTTGATGAGCGGCGTGCGGCCAAAGAAGAACCCGAACATGTAGGCCATGATGTCATTGCAGATCACACAGGAGATGGGGACAATGAACCTGCAGGGGACAAGGGTCAAACCATTGTCAAGTGCCAACACCACTCATGTCCAAGGCTCAGTGAGCAGCTGCCACCACAGGGCACTTTGCAGGGCCATCCCCTCCTTCAGCTCAGTGCAAGGAACAGCCACAAGAAGCTCCAAGGGGAATCTGGGGGTCACTCCAGTGACTGAAATCCAGGTTGTGTCCCCAGAAGGGCCTGTTTGCAGCAGCTTTTCCTTAGCCACACCCAACAGGGCACTGGACATCCCCTCCTGAGCTCCTGTGTAAGTATTTCCTGCATTTTAGCCCTAAGCAGGAGGATCCCAGAGCACCCTGGGCTGGTGTGACACTGAGGAACACACAACCCTCAAGTGGCCAGAATTCATTCCTGGCCCTGCTGGCACCAGAGGGGCCTCCCCTGTGCCCAGCAGCTGCACTGAGGGTGGCAGGTTCCCCCTCCTGCCCTTCAGTGCTGCTTTTACCACAGGAGCAGCACTTCCCCAGCCATTTGGGGAATCAGCAGAAAGCACCTACCCAACCCCAAAGACACCTGGAAGGCCCCTGCACCCCACAGCAACTTTACAAAATTCTCCTTTACAACATCTCTCTCTATAAGGTGAAGTGGCACAAAGCAAGGCCTAAGTCTCTGAGGGCTCACTTGATCTTTTGCTGGTCTGAACAGCTGCTCCCTCACAGGAAGCACCTCCTCCTTGGCCATTTGCTTTTTTTGAGAGAACAGTTTTAACTCCAAAACAAATTTTGAGATTAAAAGAAATTCGATATTGGGAATTTATTCCTACTACAATGGTGGTGAAGGCCTGGCACAGGCTGCCCAGAAAGGTTCTGGGCTCCCCTGGATCCCTGGAAGTGCCCCAGGCCAGGCTGGGGTAACCTGGGATAGTGGGAGGGGTGTCTGCCCATGGCACTGGATGATCACTAAAGCACCTTCCATCCCAAACCAGTCTGGAATTCTGTGAAAACACAGGGTCTTTTTCAGGCTGCAAAAACCAAAGCAGCTCAGGGGGCAGAGCAAACTCACCAGATCATTCCTTCAAACAGGTTGTGGATGATGAGGTGGGACTGGGTAACAACAATCAGCAACGTCACATGGGTCCAGCCAAACTGCAAGAAAGAAGAGCACCTTGTCCAGCCTGCCCAGAGCCATGCCCAGCTCAGAGAGCTCCTGAGAACAGCTCCAGCACCAGGGCACCAGGGCACCTCACCCCTCAGAAAGCTCATTTATTATCCATTGTTTGTCAACCAGCCAGATCAACAGGACAAGCTGCCTTGCACTGAGTTATTCTGGCACCGTGGGGCCAACACTGGCCTGGCACCTCCCAGCTGCCAATAAACCTCTCACTGTTGAAGGAAGATCTGAACAGATAAGCTGGATTTCTGACTGACTCATTTTCCAACCCCAAATATAACCTCACCAAGATCTGGATTTAACCTCACCAAAACATGAATTTTAACCTCTCCAGGACCTAGATTTTAACCTCACCATATAGAACTGGAGGCGATAGTGTTTCTTCACCAGACTCAAGACAAACATGCAGAAACCTGAGGAGATACAGAAGCAAAGTCAGTGGTGGGAATGTGCCTTCAACAGCCAGAAATACATTTGGGCCACGATACTGCACAGCTGCTGGGGATTTTACTGGAATAAGGGATTTTGGGGTTTGACTGGAATAAAGGAGCCCTGTGCAGTGGGGAAAGCAGTGCTTTGGAAGACACACCAAGCAGCACTTGGGCAGATGAATAGTCTGGCTGCCCCATGAAGATTATGGAGTTTTCTCCAGAACCTCGTGGAAAAGATTTGCCACTACTACAAAACATTACTACAAAAAGATTTGCCAGCTTCCAGCACGCCTGGGGAGCAGAGATGATTTTCTGTGTGTGGATTCTGCTCTGGACAGGAGATTTCTTCCCTCCAGCCCAGCCATTACTCAGGGTGGTGCCCACCTGTCAGGTAGAGGGCGAAGGAAATGAAGCGATGGTATTTGCTGAGGATCCTCAGGGGCTCCTCCCTCTGCACCAGCGTGAAGAAATAATCTGTCACTGTCTCACCGTAGAAGAAATAGTTCACACACAGCAGGAAGTACCTGGAGAGGGCAGGAACCTTGTCAGCCTTGAAAGGCTGCTGAAGTGCCTGATCCCTGAGGTCTTGACACTGGTTTTGCTTCTGCCAGCCAGAACTGCCTCCCCCAGCTTGGAAATGTCTCCATCCCAAGGAGTGACTGCACGTCTAGGACAGGTCACAGCTGGGCTCTGGGTTTGGCCTTCAGGTGCCACTGCTCAACTCGCCTCTGCCTCCCAAAATTCTCCATCCTGTGATTCTCAAAATCCTCCACTTCCCAAAATCCTCCATCCTGCGCCTCCCAAAATCCCACACCCTGTGGTTCCCAAAATTCCACATTCTGTAGTTCCCAAAATCCTCCATCTTGTGCTTCCCAAAAATCTTCCATCCTGTGATTTCCAAAATCCCATGCCCTGTGACTCCCAAAATCCCACACCCTGTGATTCCCAAAATCCTCCACCTTGTGCCTCCCAAAATCCTCCATCCTGTGCCTCCCAAGATCTGGGATGGAATTCCCAAGGAAGCTGTGGCTGTCCTGGATCCCTGGTAGTGCCCAAGCCCAGGTTGGATAAGTCTGGAGCAGCCTGGCACAGTGGGAGGTGTCTCTGCCAGGGCAGGGATGGCACTGGAGGAGCTTTAAGGTTCCTTCCAACCCAAATCAATCCAGGATGGGATTTTGGGAAGGAATTCCTGGGTGGGAGGGTGGGGACGGGCATGGGTTGGAATTCCCAGAGCTGTGGCTGCCCCTGGATCCCTGGCAGTGTCCCAGGCCAGGCTGGACAGGGCTGGGAGCAGCCTAGCACAGATGGAGGTGTCCCTGCCAGGGCAGGGGTGGCACTGGGTGGGCTTTAAGGTCCTTTCCAGCCCAACCAGGCTGGGATTCTGTGACTTTCTTTCCAAGTGCTGCCAGCACAGGGCAGCCCAGGGCGTGTGGCTGTGTCCCCTGTGTGTCCCTGAGCCCTCAGCTGGGCACACAGGGCAGGGGGAGCAGCCCCTCACTCACCAGCTGAGTGTCCTGAACCAGGGCAGGTCATAGGAGTGGTACACGTTGTAGCCAATGGTGATGATCTCGTGGAAACATTTGATCTGGACACACATCACCTGCACAGAAAGGACATGCAGGCACTGGAATCCCTGCTGGTTAAACACCTCTTCCCTTGAGGAGACAAAAACCAAGCATGTGCAGAGCACAAGGTTCTTCAGCAGTTGCCATCAGCCCTGCAGGAGCCTCCCAATCCCACATGGGATGCTCAGGGTGGCATTTTTCCCTCCCA